GAAGGGAGGTGGCACAAAGGGCACCCTCCGGAAAAAAAAAAATAAAAAAAAAAAAAAATGAGGTGGCCACAGGTGGAAAAAGCAGAATTGGAGGAAAAATGAGGTGGCTGCACCCATCAGAAAGGGCATTAGAAAAGGAAAGAAAGAGAAAGAGGAAAGAAAGAGGAAAGAAAGAGGAAAGAAAGAGGAAAGAAAGAGGAAAGAAAGAGGAAAGAAAGAGGAAAGAAAGAGGAAAGAAGAGGAAAGAAAGAGGAAAGAAAGAGGAAAGAAAGAGGAAAGAAAGAGGAAAGAAAAGAAAGAAAAAAGAAAAGAAAGAAAAAAAAGAAAGAAAAAAGAAAGAAAGAAGAAAGAAAAAAGAAAGAAAGAAAAAAAAGAAAGAAAAAAGAAAAAGAAAAAAGAAAGAAAAAGAAATAAAAAAGAAAAAAAAAAAGAGGTGGCCAGCTCCACCCAAAGTGGCATCTTGGGAAAAAATTAGGTGGCCAAGTGTGGCAGACGCGGAATCCTCTCAAAAAAAAAAAAAATGAGGTGGAGAAGTGGCATCCTCTAGAAAAATGAGGCGGCCAAAACCTAGAAGAAGCGGCATCCTCTAGAAAAACAAAGTGGCCGCATCTACCAGAAAGGGCATCCCGGGGGGGGAAAAAAAAAAAACAAAGGCGTGGCCACATCTGGTAGAAGGGGCATCCTAGGAAAAAGAAGGTGGCTACCTCCATGGGAAGTGGCAACCTGGGAAAAAATTAGGTGGCCGGACTTAGCAGAAGTGGCATCCCCTAAATAAAAAAAATAGAAAAAAAAGAGGTGGCCACAGCCATCAGAAGCAGATTCTGGCGAAAACTGAGGTGGCCGCCTCCGCCAGAAGGGACATCCTGGGGGACGAGGGGGCCGCAGCAGGTCTCCCGTGGGAATTTGGCTCCCCGAGGTCTGGCAGAGCTAATTACAGCGACTCGGGTTAATTGCGAAGGGGAGGGCGTGGGGCAGACACCCCCCCCCCCAGACCCACCTCCTGGCGAGCTCCGGCCGGCCGGACCCTGCGAGGGGAGTGGGAACAGCAGCGTGAGTGGCCCTGGTGGGGGGCACGGGGACCCCCACCCCCCCGCCCCCACTTCCACGGGTGGGGGTGTCCGGGGTGTCTATAACCCCCCCCCGGGGAGGGCAGGGGGGGGCCTCAAACCGGCCCGGGGGGGTTGCTCTGGCAAGCGCCGCAGGAGTGGCGGGGGCCACGCCAGGCCCCCCCACGCTGGAGGCTTGCGGAGGGGGGGGGGGGGGGGCACGGGACCCTCGCGGACCCCTCAGGGACACCCCATATCCCCCCCCCCCCCCACAGGGACCCCCGCTCCCCACCGGGTCACCCCACATCCCCGCGGGGGGAAGCCCCACTCCCCCGGAGACCCCTCACATCCCGCCGGGACCCCCCCCCCAAAACCTCCACCCCCCCGGGATCCCTCACTGCCCCCAGAGACCCCTCACATCCCCCAGGTCCTCCTGCTCCCCCCGTGTCACCCCACATCCCCCCCAGGACCCCCCACGCCCCCTCGGGCCCCCCACTCCCCCCCCCCAGGACCCCCCACGCCCCCTCGGGCCCCTTCGCTCCCCCCCAGGACCCCCCACGCCCCCTCGGGCCCCCCACTCCCCCCCAGGACCCCCCCACGCCCCCTCGGGCCCCTTCACTCCCCCCCAGGACCCCCCACGCCCCCTCGGGCCCCTTCACTCCCCCCCAGGACTCCCCCACGCCCCCTCGGGCCCCTTCGCTCCCCCCCAGGACCCCCCACGCCCCCTCGGGCCCCTTCGCTCCCCCCCAGGACCCCCCACGCCCCCTCGGGCCCCTTCACTCCCCCCCAGGACCCCCCACGCCCCCTTCGCTCCCCCCCAGGACCCCCCACGCCCCCTCGGGCCCCTTCGCTCCCCCCCAGGACCCCCCACGCCCCCTCGGGCCCCTTCGCTCCCCCCCAGGACCCCCCACGCCCCCTCGGGCCCCTTCACTCCCCCCCAGGACCCCCCACGCCCCCTCGGGCCCCTTCGCTCCCCCCCAGGACCCCCCACGCCCCCTCGGGCCCCTTCGCTCCCCCCCCAGGACCCCCCACGCCCCCTCGGGCCCCTTCGCTCCCCCCCAGGACCCCCCCACGCCCCCTCGGGCCCCCCACTCCCCCCCAGGACCCCCCACGCCCCCTCGGGCCCCTTCGCTCCCCCCCAGGACCCCCCACGCCCCCTCGGGCCCCCCACTCCCCCCCCAGGACCCCCCACGCCCCCTCGGGCCCCTTCATTCCCCCCCCGGACCCCTCACGCCCCCTTCACTCCCCCCCCAGGACCCCCCACGCCCCCTCGGGCCCCTTCATCCCCCCCCAGGACCCCCCCCGCCCCCCGGAGAAGGCCCCGGCTGCCCCACGCGGCCCATGGCGGACTACCCTTCCCAGCATGCACCGCGCCCTCCCCTCACAGCGGCGGTAACGAGCCCCGGTGGCGGAGAAGAGCCGCGCCGCGCACCGAGCAGCCCCCCCCCCACTCCTCCCCGAGCCCGAGGGCGCGGCCCCGGCGGCGGATGGCGGCGGATGGCGGCGGATGGCGGCGGATGAGGCCGGGCCAGGCCGCGCCGCCCCTCCTTTACCTGCCGCTGCGGCCGCCATGGCGGGCGGGGCGGAGACGCGGTGACGTCAGCGCAGGACGCCGCGGAGGCGGTGCCACCTAGCGGTGGGCGGGGGTGGTGGCAGCGCATGCGCAGAGGCGGCTCCACGGCCCCCGCCGCAGGCTGCGGCCCGGCTCCCCGCCGCCGCGGGACGGGACCGGGAATGGCGCCGCCTGCCCCGGTTAAACCCCAGTTAGGATCCGGTTAACCCCCGGTTAAGGCCAAGTTAAGCCCCGCAGGCCGCCCGCTGTTCCCGCCCCTCAGCGTGGCCCCTCCCGCGGGGGCACCGGGATGGGCGTGGCCCGCCTGGTGGGCGTGGCCACCGCAGCCTCTCCGCTACAGGAGAGGTGCCCGGCCGTCGTTGGGGGGGCGTGGCCACGCCGTCCGGCGCACGCGCACTCGCCGTTCCCCGCCCCGCGGGGGTTGAGGGGGAGGACTGACGTCAGCCCTCCGGGAGGGCGGGGCGCGGTGCACGCCGGGAAGCCGCCGCCCAAGATGGCGGCAGGATTGAAAAATTGTCGGCGGGGCTGAGCGCGGCTCCGGGGAGCGGGAACCGGAGCTCTGGGAGGGCCTATGGCCGCCCCCGGGCGCTGAGGCCGGGCCGCCGGGCCCCCGCCGCGCACCGAGGCCGGGCGAGCGCGGCCGCTGCGGGGATGCCCCGGGGGGGGCCGGGGCCGCCGCCGCCGCCGGAGACATGGAGGAGGAGGGCAAGAAAGGCAAGAAGGTGAGAGCGGTCCCTGGCGCCCCCCTGTCAGCGGGGCACCCCCGGGGGGTGGGGGGCCGACAGCGGGTTTGGCTGGACCCCCGGGAGCGCCGCTCCCCCCCCCCCAACCCGGGTTGGGGGGGGGGGCTGCCCCATCCCGCGGGCCGGGCCCTCCGTGCCCCCCCCGTCCCGCGGGCCCCGGGGCCCTCCGTGCCCCCCCCGTCCCCCGGGGCCCTCCGTGCCCCCCCCGTCCCCCGGGCCCCTCCGTGCCCCCCCCGTCCCGCGGGTCCCGGGCCCCTCCGTGCCCCCCCCGTCCCGCGGGTCCCGGGCCCCTCCGTGCCCCCCCCGTCCCGCGGGTCCCGGGCCCCTCCGTGCCCCCCCCCGTCCCGCGGGTCCCGGGCCCCTCCGTGCCCCCCCCGTCCCGCGGGTCCCGGGCCCCTCCGTGCCCCCCCCGTCCCGCGGGTCCCGGGCCCCTCCGTGCCCCCCCCCGTCCCGCGGGTCCCGGGCCCCTCCGTGCCCCCCCCGTCCCGCGGGTCCCGGGCCCCTCCGTGCCCCCCCCGTCCCGCGGGTCCCGGGCCCCTCCGTGCCCCCCCCGTCCCGCGGGCCCCGGGCCCCTCCGTGCCCCCCCCGTCCCGCGGGCCGGGCCCCTCCGTGTCCCGCGGGTCCCGGGCCCCTCCGTGCCCCCCCGTCCCGCGGGTCCCGGGCCCCTCCGTGCCCCCCCCGTCCCGCGGGCCCCGGGCCCCTCCGTGCCCCCCCCGTCCCGCGGGTCCCGGGCCCCTCCGTGCCCCCCCCGTCCCGCGGGCCCCGGGCCCCTCCGTGCCCCCCCCGTCCCGCGGGCCCCGGGGCCCTCCGTGCCCCCCCCGTCCCGCGGGCCCCGGGGCCCTCCGTGCCCCCCCCGTCCCGCGGGCCCCGGGGCCCTCCGTGCCCCCCCCGTCCCGCGGGCCCCGGGGCCCTCCGTGCCCCCCCCGTCCCGCGGGCCCCGGGGCCCTCCGTGCCCCCCCCGTCCCGCGGGCCCCGGGGCCCTCCGTGCCCCCCCCGTCCCGCGGGCCCCGGGGCCCTCCCGGGGGTGGCTGGAGCTTCTCGGGGCTTCTCAAAGCCTTGTCCCCTCCCTTGGGTGGTTTCAGGCTTGGCTCTGTCCCGTCTGAGCGTCTCCCTGTCAGCGTGGCTGCGCTGAGGGCTGGGGCCTCGCTTTCCTCCCCCCCCCCCCCCCCTTATAAAAGATTTATTTCTTGCGAGCGTGGGGTTTGTGGGGAGCGCTGCTGCGGCCTCGCAGCCTGCTCTGCCTGCGTCCTGGCACGCACCGAGGGGCAGGGCATCATTTACCCTCCTGCTTCGCTGCCCGGGCTGCGAACGGGACAGGCGGTTAATGACACGTCTTAAAATATTTTATACAACAGCGCCGGCTTGTCTTGTTTACTGATTGTGGTGCTGAAGCAGCCTTGCTCCGTGAGCATGCATGTTTTGTGCTTTCAGATATATATGACGTCAGTTATAGTCAGGATTGTCGCCCCTCAAAGATCACCAGGCTCCCTCTGCATTGCCTGCAAACGGGCTGCTCTAATTTCTCTTGGTTGAACCTATTTTTGTGTGGTGTGGGGGAGGCGAAGCTCGAGGTGACGGCTGGGATGCTCGCTGAGAGCAGTGCTCCCCGAGCAGGGGGGGGTTGGCTCTTTCTCTGAAAAAACAAAAACAAAAAAAAAAATCCCTTGGTTTGATGACATAATTGTGGGGGGAGAAACGAGCTATTTTTAGTCGTTTTGGGGGCACTTGCAGTAATGGCAAACTCAGAAGGTGGCAGCAGAGTCTCCTGCTGGAACTCTGAAGCGATCAGAATAAGCACAGAATTAGAAATATTGAATTTATTTAATATTTTTTTTTTTTCCCCCTGGAGTTACTGGATGGACTCCCCACAGCTGGCAAGTAAAACCACCTTGCGACGTCTGCTGACCCGCGGGCGGTGCGGCGGGCTCCGCAGCACAGGTGGGAGGAGAAATTATTCATCTGGATATGTAATCTTCTGGCTTTCAAGGAGAAACAACTCCAGGTGCTCACTCCTGGGGCTGCGGATAATTGTAGAGTAACTTTAGAGGCAGGTAAACACCTGTTCTTTGTGGCAGGCAGCGACTGCAAGGCTGGAAGGGGCGCTCAGCTAAAATACGTAGACTAGAAGTGGAACCAGCTCTTGTCTCTGCTGAAAACTGGGTTTCTGCTGTTTGGGGGAAAAGTCTGGGGGTTTTTGCCTTGGGAAATGGTGCTTTCCCGAAACGCTGTTTATTTCTGTGGCCGGAGAGAGCGCGCTGTCGTCCCGGCTGGTGTAATCTGGGACCTTTGTGCTGCTGTCCTGGGGGTTTTCTTGTTTCTGCCAAGACAGCTTGGCCTGGCTGGTCCCTGAGGTCCCTTCCAACCTGGAATTCTGTGATTTTTATTGCGAGAAGGGGCAGCCAGCTCCCGTGGTCGTGGATCCTCAGGCCGGTTGAGGGTGTTGGGGACCTCTGGAGACGTCCTAATCCAGCCTTCTGCACGGGGCAGACCCCATCCTGCTGGGTTTTGTGTGTTTCCAAGGGTGAAGACTCCTCAATCCATCTGGGCAACCTCTTCTGTGTTTGCCCTCACACTAAAAGGTTTTTTTTTCCCTTACGCTTGAATGGGATTTGCTGCGTTCCAGTTCGTGCCCAGTCCCTTGTGTCCTGTCACTGGGAAGAGTCTGGGTTCTTCTCCCCTCACACTAAAACTTATTTTTTTTCCCTCCTTATGTTTGAATGGGATTTGCTGCGTTCCAGTTCGTGCCCAGTCCCTTGTGTCCTGTCACTGGGAAGAGTCTGGGTTCTTCTCCCCTCACACTAAAACTTATTTTTTTTACCCCCTTATGTTTGAATGGGATTTGCTGCATTCCAGTTCGTGCCCAGTCCCTCGTGTCCTGTCACTGGG